TTCTGTACTTTGTGACTTTTTAACCGTGAACCTAAATGTGTTTGTTTCGAATTTAATGCGACAGTCAAAGAAAGTTGCTTGTTATTTTTGGACGCAAAACCCTAAGTTTGCTGGAATACAACACAAAACAACACTGATGATTATTTTACTGATCGATTATTCTGTCGATTAATCAGATAAAAAAAAAAAATTGGCTAATTCTGAAGATTTTTTTTAAAACCACCTGAGCTCATTTTACAACATATTAGAAATATATTTAAATAACTTCGATTTTAATAAGAAAATAAACGTTTTATTGTCAAAAATGCAATAATATTCCATTCCTTAGCTCTTCATTCAACATCGATACAGTGTAGGAATTATCTTTTGACAATTTTTGTTTTTCATTAACCAAATTATAAGAGCAAAAGGTGTTTCTGCCTTATTTTTACTGAATTTGAACCCAGCGAAGCTAAAACTAGGACACCTGAGAACTTCTGGGTAGAACAGATTTATTTAAAGAAGGGTTGTTTTTTTGTTTTTTTACCTTAAATTCAAAACGTATAAGAGTCTGTACGCTGCTTAACGACTAATCAGTTACTAAATTAGTTGACAATTATTTCAATTGTCGATTCATCATAATTAATCCAATTAATTGTTTCACCTCTGTTCAAGGACTGATGTGTTTTATAAGCCCCAGTCGTTGATTTGCAGATTAAACGAGGTCACTGGGTGAAACTCAGTATTAGCGAAAGCCTGTTGTCAGTCAGTGTTTGTCAGTTTTACCTCCTGGTTCCTGTAGATGGAACCACCTTAAAGGGGAGATTCAGTGCAGAGAAACTAAGATAGTAGCAGGTAAAAACTAAATCAAATGTGATATAATGACTGCAGAAGATGCAGCAGACCTGTGTCTCTTCTCTCAAGCCTAACAGGAATGAATTTCTTATAAAGATCTACTTTGCCGTCTCCTGATGCAGCAGGACACGTTTAGGTTTGTTTACTTTCTACAAACGACCCAGATTTGCAAGCGTCTCTTTGCAGCTGCGCTTTTAAACCTGCAGGTTCTAAACTTCTCACTCGGACATGTGACTCCCAGCGTTTTGTTTTGTTTTTTTTGTTTTGTTTTTGTTTGGTTTTTTTTCCCCTCCATATCTGGTGAACCCACAGCCAGATGCTTTGCAATGTCGTATCCTGGGTACATTTTTAACCCCCGTGCAGCAATTGGATTGAAATGCCATGACAGATGTGTGAGCAGATGTAGATTCAGCCACAGTGAGCTGTAGATTATTGCTTTATGATGTGATATCGGAGAGCGGTCCACAGTGAGACGTTTGTGCTGTAACGCGGCTTGTTGTGTAATCCTCAGCCATTCCCCTCACTGCATACGGACCAATGGCGGCGGCGGCGGCGGCAGCAGTAGTCAGGGGTAGGCCTGCGACTCTGCTTCTTGTATTTGTGTGCTTCCTTTAGATAGAATGCTTGCACAAAAGCTTGCTTGGACAAATAAAGGTATATTTTTAGAAGCATGTGTGTGTGTGTGTGTGCGTGCGTGTGTGTGTGAAGCCCTATGGTGTCTAAGCCTGACTCGTCTCTCCTGCCTTTCAGGCTCCACCCCTTCTCGCACAGCTGGCTTCCTGGGCACCAGCAGCCCGGGACCAATGGCCGACCTGTACGCTGCGGCCAACCAAGACTCAGGAGTCAGCAGCTACATCAGTGCCGCTAGCCCCGTCCCCAGCACAGGGTTTGGCCATGGTCTAGGGGTAGGTCATGCCTACTATGTTTCAAAAACATGCTAGGGTGCACACATGTGCTCACAAAGAGCGCATTCATTCCTGTCCCTGTGTCCTCAGGGTCCTCTGATCGCCACTGCGTTCACTAATGGCTACCACTGAGGAGGCTCAGGTCACAGAGGATCGGAGGGCTCCTCCTCTGTCTGCTGTTGTGCCAATCAGAACGCTGGCTGCCCCTTGACGGCGCAATCTGATTGGCTGGCCACGGGTCTCCAGCGGGATGTCCTGGCACCACGTGGCTCCACCCACCGACTGAAGATCTTTTTAAAAACCAGAACTCTTGTTTTGCTGTACTAATCTCACTTCGACATAACGTTCCCGGTTCTTCTTCTTCTTCTTCTTCTTTTTTTTTTTCGTCCTCATGTAGAGCAACACACTAGTTCCCGCACATCCCACCACCGTCTTTCCTCAGTTACCATTTCTTTCTTCTATTGAAGCTGAGAGGAGGAATCTGAAAAAAAAAAAAAAAAAAAAGTTTGAGAAGCTGTTGGAGTAGGACAAAGTGGAACTGTTTTGATTTATTTTTTAAATGATTTTATTATAATGTGATGTGTTATTTTATCATGAAATTGTTCAGAAGCTGTTACTGATGTGGTAAAAAAAACAAAAAAACGTGTGAGATGGGGGCATTTTTAACAAAGGAAGAACAAACCCGACAAAAAGTCCTTTTTTACGCTGAAACTGTCACTGAAAACACAGATGAAAAAACAAAACAAAAAAAACAAAAAAAAACAACAAAAATGTATATTTTGGTAGTCTTTAAAAACAAAAACCTTTGTAATATTGTTATTAATATTGACATAATAATGATAATCTGTAAGGTATTTTATTCTGTAATTGGTTTAAAAGCAATGTTTTTATGTCTTCCTGTAAGATATTGTACATAGAGGCAGTGGGGGGAGGAGGGGGGGGGGGGCCGGATGGACGGCGGATTCTCATTGGTTGGTTTTGACTGGATGTCATGTGCTACTGTCTGCAAGCATCTCACTACTTTAACAGCATGCATGTGGTTAAATGTGCATACTGTGGGGCCAGTACGCTCCTGTGTCACTTCAGCGCGGTGCTGAAATTCGCACGTTTAGGAGTTTATCTGGTGTATTTTCTCCATTAACTGTCCAAATCATCCCTTTGTTTTTTTTTTTATTTTTGCTTTACTTTACTAAGAGTCCAAAGTTTGACTCGTCCGTCTTCACGCAACTTAAGTTAAACACAATGGACTTCAGGAATAAAGGAAAAATATCACCTTAAAGCAATAGAAGAAGCAGTGCAGGGCTAAAGTACATTCATTAGGATCTTATTTGGCATATTTTTTCTTTTCTTTTTTTTTTTCTTTTTTTTTGGTTACTAACAGACTTGTCACTTCTCGGCCTGTCTGAAATAAATCCAAGGGTCGTAAAACGAATAATAACTTTACAGCAAGTTGCTATTTTTTTAAAATCGTATCTGGCATATTTACCCTTTTAATGAAGAAAGTCGTCCCTTTTTATCGCTTTGCTCCTTCAAAAATGCGAGCTGGACTTCTTTACAAATCAGTAACCATCTTAAAGCTGTAGAAAATGCTTTGTGGCGGATTGCTATTCACAACAATTCAAGGAGTTGACATGTTTGCAAAGTCACCACCTTTTCTTTTCTGTACTTCCTTAAAACGCGCGTTTGCATTTTGCATATTCACGACGCTTGTTTTAGTTAAACACAACACACTTATGGAAGAATAACCTTGAAGCAGGATTCAAATGAAAGTACAGTGCCGTGATCCTCAAGTGCATTTTCAGGATAACTTTTAGGCATATTTGCTCCATTAGTCAATCAAGTCGTCTGTTTTCCACTTTACTTCTTCAGACATGCAAGTTTGACTCTTGCATCTTCATGCTACCTGTTTCAGCGAAACACAACAGACTTGTGGAAAGAGTAACAACCGTAAAGCAGGAGAAACTAGGGATTCAGGGGGGTAAGAGGGGTTCGGCTTGACTTCCTCTTTTTGAAAATATTATATATATATTTTTTGAGCGGTTCTCTTAATGTTTCTGTTTTTCTGCTCTCTTATTGAAATAAATGTTTCTTTTTATGCGGTGTTTTCCACCGAGACGACAAATGAAGGACATTCTCAGAGAACGCAGTTGTAAAAAAAAAAAAAAAAAACACAAACCACGATCCTGTTTTGTCCTCTTATCACTGTTTGAAGGTGCATGTGGTTGCGTCTGAGCGTGTGTGAGTCCGTGTTTGTGCGCATACATCCAGAGTGTAATATGGAACTACTTCTGGCAGCGGAGGAGCATTTTGATTGCCTTTTTTTCTTTGGTACTGAGAAAAACAAAAAAAAAAAAAGAAAGAAAGAAAGAAAAAGCGAGAGAGAGAGAGATCACCCTGTTCCGTTTTGGCTCGCCTGCTTTTCTCGCCCGACTTTCTCCTGAATCTGTGCTTCTCTGGAACAAACATATTATTGTTTTAGTGTGATGCTGCTGCTCCGCGTGGCGGCGAACAGGCAGAGGCCAGGGAGCCATGAGCGGAACAGGGTCACGCTCCCAGCCGGGTCTGATGAACGAGACGACTCTGGCTGGCAGAAAAAGCAGGAAAGCTGGAGCAGATTTGTAAAAAAACAAGCCGCCTGCCTGTTCAGCCTCCACTGTTGTTCTGGCACAGAAAACTGTCCTGATGCCGCCAGTAGCTCCTCTGTCAGACAGGCTGGGACATGGGTTGAAAAAAAAGAGAAAAAAAAAGAGAAATAGAAACTACTGCTGGACACCAACACTGTAACTTTTTAAACTTACAATAAAGCAATAAGTTATTTTTTACCTTACAAATGAAAATAGTACTATTATTGGTAATAGCAGACAAGAAGTGGAAAATTCTGCGGCATTAAGACTTATTTTCTGGAAAAAGTGAACTATATTTTTCTGTTTTGAGATGTTTTTTCCCCTTGTATATTGCTTTTAAAGATGCCTTTTTGTTTTGGTGATGTATGAAAAAGGGCCAATATTTGGTGTGGAGCTCTGTGTGAGCCTGGGTAAAAATTCAGACTGTCCCTCGCCAAGCTTTCCTTTTTTATTTTTTTGTTTGTTTGTTTGTTTTCTGACAATTTCAATTTGAAGTTCCTAATAAATTATTCTAAAGCAATTTGTGATAGTATTCTTGATCATTGATTGCATTTTCTATGGATGTGGTCAGCTGATGTGGGCATCAGCTTTGAAAGGTGTTTAAAACGTAACTTGATTTGATTTGAACTTCAGATTTGGTGACCAAAAAAAAAAAAAAAAAAAAAAACACATTTGGAAACAGCTAGTAGATTTACTTGCTCCAAAATGTGTAAAAATCCTCATTTCAATTCAGCAGAATATTTTTAAATATTTTTAAAATGTATATTTTACTTAAGATGCTTTCAAGAAATTCAATGACTTACTGCTTTTCCGTGTTTCTAGAAGGACAAAACGTTGAGGCACATCTTCAAAACAGGAAAGAGAAGAGAACACACTACTAAACTAAAGCTTATTTGTGTTAATTGGAAAATTACAAAAAAAAAAAAGTTACACAAAATTGGTCAAATCTATAGTCAGACCCAAAATAACTTTTTTTTTTTTTTGACAAGTTTGTTACCAAGCACAGCCGTTACAATGACAACAGAATAACCGTATTTTGCTTTATGGACTTCACACATTAAATGTACATAAAATCAAGACTAAATCTTTTGTTTCTTACACATTTTTTTTCCTAATTATTGTTGCGGGACCTACATGTTGGCAACATGGGACAACTGCTGCTCCGAATCTGCATCAGGTGGATGGAGAAAACAAGTTTCTTTGTGAAAATCACGTTGTGCTTTTACTTTACTTTGACAAGAAAAAAGAAAATTAGCACATATGTCACACTCAGTGGGGTGCTGTAGGACAGAGGGCTGGCTGCTGGCTGTGTGAGGAGCCGGATCAGAGGTGGTAAACAGTCTGATCCCCTCACTGACAGTCAGGAGCTGGACCGAGGCCAGCAGGGTCACAGATCATCTTCCACTTCTCTCCTTTTACCATCTCTGCCTACAAACAGAAAAACCTACAGAGGCGAAATGGAAAAACATCCACAGAACCTCATCTGACTCGATCCGAAGACGTCGGTTTCTGGACTTCAACTCCTCAAGCTGGATTTCCCTTCTTTGGTCTTATTTCTTAGTCACATTTTGTGATTTTAATCAGCATTTTTTGGGCTGTTTTAGTGTTTTGTTTTTGCTTTTTTATTAAATACTATACGTGTTCTGGACGTCAATGGCGGTCGGTGTGCTCGACTCGCAGACAAAAAGCTCCTTAAACGGGAGCACATTTTTTGACCGTGGCTCTTTGAAAGAGCAGGAACTTCCACCTCCCTTCCGGAGCTACCTTTGTTTGACCATGTTGACGTGCTTCTGTCCGGCGTACCCCGTCAACATAGTGGCCCTGGTCTTCTCTGTCATGGTACGTATGGACTACGCAGACTAACCCAGCTGGATTTAAATTTTTTTTTTTTTTTTTTCACATAAAATAGCAGAACAGAGAGGAGGAAAGGAGAAAGACGCTAAAGGAAAGGGTGTTTTTAAATTACTGCGGTGACGCTGCCCTCTGACCTGGGAGTCAGTCTGTTGGACCCTGAGATGTAACACAGTCACACACACACCTGCTCCGCCCGTCAAGCAACTTTATTTTCTATTTTTATCCTCTTACTGGTTCTAAAGACGACAGGATTTCAGTCCATCAAAGTAAAACGTTG